TGATTAATTCCAGTGGTAAGTTGCATCGTAAATTTGGTTATACTAACATGCACACATACTTATGTACATTCGTATGTACATATTTACGTTTATGTAGAATCAAAAGAACTTCTCGAAGGCCTATGCAAAAAGATGAATGAAGCGTTATACAGTAAGTATAAAATTTTTTTCACCGATATAAAAGAGTGGTAAACAAAAACTAATTTTTAATTAAATTTTTCCATTTTAGAGGCCAAGAGCAAAACCTCTGATGGTGACGTTAACAAAGAAAACATTCAAAAAGATTCTGGTCAGGTATCTTGATTATTATAAATAAAGTTAGATGTAATACTAATATTTTAATTTATATATCTCCCATTTTAGTTAAACAAAAATTGTCTTACAGTGAAGTAAATATTAATGAAGTGGAACTTTATAAAGAATTAGGTAAGTAAATTACTTGAGTAATATTGCTGTAAGCAAAATTTTCAAGTAAATTGGCAGTACTAAAAGGGAATTAAAATTTCAGAGGGCCAAACCTCTGATGGTGGCGTTAACAAAGAAAACGTTCAAAAAGATTCTGGTAAGATATCTCGATTATTATAAAGTCGACTATGTTACTAATTTTTAATTAAATTTATCCACTTTTAGAGGCGATTGGAGCAGATGGCTTCGACCCCATTTTGAGTAAGTTAATAGATAAATCATAAATATAAGTTACAAATAGTTAAAACTATTAAAAATTGCAAGAAAATCTGTGAAAAACTAAATTTAATAAGTGAAAAAGTTAAAGTTGAGTTTACCGTCTTTAATTATTAAATTTAAGTTTTAAATCCAAACTGCAGCGTACACACATAGGGCATCTATGTTTAAAATTCGGTGTTATGTAGCTCTTGTAGTATTTCAGTTCTAGATTTGTATATAAACGGCATCAAGGAAATTCCTTAATAGTATCGTATGGTGTGAGGTACTGCTTATATACATAGGGCATTTGTGCTCTTATTATCTTTGAGATCCAGTTGTTCATTTGGACGGACAGACATGACTCAATGGACTAATCTCGTCATGCTGATCATCAATAATATATATTTGTAGGGTCTGTCATCTTCTGCATGTTACATTTTCACTTTGCACAAACCTAATAAATATTCGCATTTTTCATTTCATGTATAGAGTATAAAAATGTCACTAATCCATAAAATACCCCGTCCGTCTACGAAATATTTCTTTCGTAATAAGTGAACAGAGTGTTTATAGCCCGTTTTTATACTCTGTACATGAAATGTACAAGAGTATATTAGGTTTGCGGGAGCTGAAAAATGTAAGATACAGAAGGAAGCATCTCCGACCCCACAAAGTATATATATTCTTGATCAGCATGACGAGACGAGTCGATCTAGCCCTGTCTGTCTGTCTGTCCGTCTGTCCGTCTATCCGTCCGTATGAACACCTGGATCTCAGAGACTATAAGAGATAGAGACACCAAATTTTGCACAAAGATGCGTTATGTGTGTATTCTATACGAGTTTGTTTTATTTTTTTTGATTTTCCCCCCCACTTCCCCCCTATGGGGGTTTTCCCGATTTTCCATTCGTATAATCGCCTATATCTCGGAGACCATAAGACCTAGGAAACCAAATTTTAGTCCAAGGTGCCTTGTGTGAATACGCAGAAAATGTATATTTTGGAATTTCCCTCCCTCCCCCCTCTCCCACGCAAATCGCGATTTTCTCTAACTCCCGCAATTCTTGGAATTTCGAACTCAAATTTTGCAAATACCCCCAGTTAGTAATTATGTGTCCGTATGTTAAGTTTCACTATGATAGACCGATTTACCAAGAAGTTATAGCCATAAATATATTTGTTGCTGCAGCGCTGCTCAAGCGCTGCCCGCGGCTGTTGTTGATGTTGCTGTTTGGTTGACTGCGAAAATGCTTACACAGGCACGAATAGATGCGCATAGGCATACATACACTCACACAGACGCAATTGCTATGTAAATGTGCAATTATACACCCTTTACGTGAGTTCGAATACCGAGTAAGGTAAAATCGATCATTGAATTTTTTTATACCCTGTACCCGTAGGGTAAAAAGGGTATATTAGGTTTGTGCAAAGTATGTAACATGCAGAAGGAAGCATCTCCGACCCCATAAAGTATATATATTCTGAATCAGCATGACGAGAGAAATCGATCTAGACATGCACGTCCGTCTGTCCGTCTGGATGAACGCGAGGATCTCAGAAACTATAAAAGCTAGAATAACCAAAGTTGGCATCCAGATTCTCCTAGGTCCGAGTAAGGACGAGTTTATTTTTTTTTTTTAATTTTCCCCCCCTTTCCCCCGCTACAGAATTTCGTCAATAGCGTCCACATTTCAAATGCTACCTAAACCAAACTTTGCACACATAATTTATATATAATTTTTTACTGTTGTATATTGAGTCATGTCTGTCCGTCCAAATGAACAACTGGATCTTAAAGATAATAAGAGCACAAATGACCTATGTATATAAGCAGTACCTCACACCATACGATACTATTAAGGAATTTCCTTGATGCCGTTTATATACAAATCTAGAACTGAAATACTACAAGAGCTACATAACACCGAATTTTAAACATAGATGCCCTATGTGTGTACGCTGCAGTTTGGATTTAAAACTTAAATTTAATAATTAAAGACGGTAAACTCAACTTTAACTTTTTCACTTATTAAATTTAGTTTTTCACAGATTTTCTTGCAATTTTTAATAGTTTTAACTATTTGTAACTTATATTTATGATTTATCTATTAACTTACTCAAAATGGGGTCGAAGCCATCTGCTCCAATCGCCTCTAAAAGTGGAAAAATTTAATTAAAAATTAGTAACATAGTCGACTTTATAATAATCGAGATATCTTACCAGAATCTTTTTGAATGTTTTCTTTGTTAACGCCACCATCAGAGGTTTGGCCCTCTGAAATTTTAATTCCCTTTTAGTACTGCCAATTTACTTGAAAATTTTGCTTACAGCAATATTACTCAAGTAATTTACTTACCTAATTCTTTATAAAGTTCCACTTCATTAATATTTACTTCACTGTAAGACAATTTTTGTTTAACTAAAATGGGAGATATATAAATTAAAATATTAGTATTACATCTAACTTTATTTATAATAATCAAGATACCTTACCAGAATCTTTTTGAATGTTTTCTTTGTTAACGTCACCATCAGAGGTTTTGCTCTTGGCCTCTAAAATGGAAAAATTTAATTAAAAATTAGTTTTTGTTTACCACTCTTTTATATCGGTGAAAAAAATTTTATACTTACTGTATAACGCCTCATTCATCTTTTTGCATAGGCCTTCGAGAAGTTCTTTTGATTCTACATAAACGTAAATATGTACATACGAATGTACATAAGTATGTGTGCATGTTAGTATAACCAAATTTACGATGCAACTTACCACTGGAATTAATCATTTCTGCTTCAAAAGTAGCTCCATTTTTTTTTGTTAAAAAAATGTTTTTATACCCTGTACCCGTAGGGTAAAAAGGGTATATTAGGTTTGTGCAAAGTATGTAACATACAGAAGGAAGCATCTCCGACCCCATAAAGTATATATATTCTGAATCAGCATGACGAGAGAAATCGATCTAGACATGTCCGTCCGTCTGTCCGTCCGTCTGTCCGTCTGGATGAACGCAAGGATCTCAGAAACTATAAAAGCTAGAATAACCAAAGTTGGCATCCAGATTCTCCTAGGTCCAAGAAAGGACGAGTTTATTTTATTTTTTGGAATTTTCCCCCCCTTCCCCCGCTACAGAATTTCGTCAATAGCGTCCACATTTCAAATGCTACCTAAACCAAATACATAATTTATATATAATTGTCTACTGTTGTTTAAAATTTTATTGAATTCTGTCAATTCTAAGAAAAGTTATTAGCGAAACAAATTCTCGCCAGTACAACCCCCACAAACTGCAGCAACAAGTTCGCTCTTCTTCTTCCTCTTTTTGCTGCTGTTTTGGGCGCATATAACTCAGTGACGGAAGTTTACCTGGGTACAGGGTAAACAAGCCCAACACTGTCGGGCTTGCTCGACTGTAGCGTTCTCTCTTGTTATTATTAATTTTTACTAATTGTAAAGGCATTTCACTTAGTTTTAAGATAACTTAAGAGAAAAATAATGAAATTAACCCACTATGAACAGCACAATTGCAAGCCGCTCTTTTGTTCGTGCTTACGGCGGCCGCTTGTCTGTAGCGTCGCGATAATTAAATCACTTGTAAAATCGAAGTCTAGCTGTGCATACATTTGTTTCTTTGAGCTAATTAATCGTGCATAGGAAGACACCAGTCTTTCTTGATTCAGACTAAAATTCGTGAACCATTTTGCTTTTGCCATACCGGCAAGTTGCCGGCTTAAAGCCGTACATTTTGGCGCCCCCGGGTGGACTACTGGAGTCTACTCCCTCGTTGGACCTCACATCGGCTTTCGACTTGCGATTACCGTCGTGGTGGTGTCTACTGGTCCTACTGGTATCTTCAATTTGCGCGAGATTATTGGCGGTACTTTCCTGGACAATTGGACATTTGGCGTACACTCCCAATCGATGAATTGCCACAATTTTCAGGGAAGTTTACATCAGGTAACGAGTGCGAAAAATAAATTGCGGCCACAATCGTCGACTTGCGTGTATATTTAAACGCCAAGTTTGTACATACATACATACATACAAGTGCAATATATGTACACATATAAATTTGTGTAATTCACAAACTAACTTATAAGCACAAATTTGTATGCAAATACTCATTTGTAAATTTAGCAAAGAGTGGACCGTGATTTATTTGGCAGTCGGCATCTTACTTAAAGAAATATAGTTACTAAAGCATAGCTATTGGAGCTTTATAAAATAAATAAAGTGAAAAACATACATACATATATTCGCGTAGACAATTGCATTTATTTATTTATTGCTTTCTTGTACATACATTGATATGTACATGCTCGTACATATGTTGTTGCATCGGCTAATTATCGGCCGCGGTTTCTGGCAACGCCAGCATACATTTATCGGCGCAACCGGTTACCAGCGCCACCTTGCGGTACCGGGAAGTGACAGTGCCAGCTGTTGCGGCAGCAGGCCATGGTTGCTGGAAATGGGAGTAGGAGATGGCGGCAGGAGAAGGATGGGAATAAACGGATGCAAAAGGGTTTTGAAAGAGCCATGCGGTACGCGAGATGGTGGCGGCATTGTTGCTGGTGAATGAGACGAGCAAGGACGGAGCACGGACACAGACCCGAAAGAATTTTGAATATACCTATAACCTGAAAATAGGTAAGAGAAAAAAAAGGTTAGAAAATAAATGAAAGAAATTTATGCCAATGTCTACGTGTCAGATAATCATAGACCCCGCAGCAGACGAGCGGCCGCTGGGTCTGTTTATTTTGGACTTATGCTACATTTTGGATATTGGGCAATTGGTAGCCACCAGCACATGCCCAATCGTCCCGCTGACCACGTTTCGACGCATGTTGAGGCTGAATTGACCGCCGCATCGCCATCATCATCTCATCGTCGCATCTACGTCAGCGGCAGCCCGTACAACCGCGTCTTCAGGGCTATCCCACCGACCAGCGGATTCTACCGTACCGCCAGCATAGACGACGGAGGATACGTGCCGTAGAAGCCTAAACTGAGTGAGTCCGTTCTGGTACCAGGTGTTGATGCTAGCGACGCCAACGCCGTACCGCCGCAACCCTGATTCCTGGCCCCATCGTGTGTCCGGTGCTTTAATTGTAAAAAAAAAAAAAATGAAAGAGAATTGAATTGAATTAAACTTTAATATGAACATAAGTGTTTACATGTATTTATGCGTACGCTCACCTGTCTCGTGAGGAAATAGCCAAGCTTTGATCTCAGAGTTATGTAAAACCGAATAGGAAGGACAGCCTAGAATTTGTGAGTGTTTGGCCACCAGAGTAAAATAAATAGGAGTGCCCCTGACCCCTAGAGCTCTGTGGAGGGAAGGCGATTCGCGTCCATAGCTGATCCAAGTACATAGGCCGTCCGAATTGGGTTTTCGTTCGCGTTCGGTTGCAATAGGTCATAGCCTGGGCTGCATGATACACACATTGTTCCACATTTATATACCCTTTAATACGCACAACACAACATTTACATACATGTCATAACGTTTATACATACATCGGGCAACATTTATATTGTATACATTCATAGCACAACATTCATATACATATCACAACATTTATAACATATCACAACACTTATATAAGTAAACAAATCTCGGTTGGAGTAGGTTTCGTTTAGATGTTTATTTAGCTCAACTGAGCATAATGAGTTCCAAATTAAAACTAACTTAAATAAATATTCAATGCAGGCCACATAGCCTAAGGCCCGCGGCAGCGCCGGAGCACAGCCCAAGGGCCGTGGCAGCGCAGGCAACAGAACGCTGACTCAGCGCCTCGTGACCGTTCTTGCAGTGGTCACTCAGCGCAGGAATGCGGGTGTCAGGTTCCGCCGGCCGCTGTGTTGCAACGGCGTCCGGTCTGATGACTTGGTCAGCAGATATTTCCTTGCGCGTGTGAACTGGCATCTGTGTTGCAACGGCGTCCGGTCTAATGACCTGGTCAGCAGATTCTGCCTTGCGCGTGTTAACTCCTCCCGGGGTTAAGTGAAAGCCGTCCTCGGGTTTTCCCAGATGCGCTGCGGGTTCAATTCGGCGTTTTAGGGCTCGATGTCGTCGGACCCTCAGAATGCCAACATAGCAAAGCAGGACGAGTGCGAGAGTAAGGCAGCTGCTTAGCAACGGCCTTGACTGTAGTTCGGATTGAAGGTCGCCAATGCGTTGAAGATTCTTCAAGCTCAGATCGTGGAGGAAGGGCAAACTTAGGTGCTCTCGGTGGCTGGTCACGTTGATTTGTGACGAGGCGGACACCGCAGGTTTTTTCCTCAAGACGCCTCGATGGTTGACATAGAGAGTGCCGTTCAGGGAAATGTGGTCATTATAGGAGACCAGGTATGTTCCCGAAACCAACTGACTGATGCCATTATCTTCGACCTTAATGGTTGCGTCATTGATCAGGAGGAGGCCTTCGTCAATCAGGGTCACCGGTTCCAGATGTCCAGGGCGAGTTGCGCAATGTGCGATGATTCCAGACACCAGCTGTTGAGCGCAAGTTGAAGTCTGCATCTTCTTGCAGAAGGTAGTGCCCACAGCTGCGTTACATTCGGAAACGGCGAAGGTCTGCGCTCCGCAATCGGCTACCGTGCTACTGTCTTCTAAATCTAAAATCAATTTGTTCTTTTGAACTGGAAAGACATTAATTTTCTTACAAACTAGTTTTGGTTTTGGATATTTAATGAGAAAATATAACATATTGGTATTTTGAAATGCCTTAATACTAGATACTGACAAAATGTCTGATATGCTAACATTTGTGAAGTGTTCATTTGCCAGTTCATTAACATCAACGCTGTCCAGAATTAGAGGGCTTATTAAATTGATTTTTGCTAGGGTTATGGAAAATATTAGATCCTCAAGATTATTGATAATTATTCTGTTCTTTGCAAGAATGGTTTCGAACAAATGCCCATAGTCTGAATCTTCCGTCCTGTGAATTGCGTTCAAAGTCTTTATGATTTCGTTAATTCGTGTCTGGAATTTGGTGTTTATCTCAATTTGCCTGTTTTCGGCTTCTATTAATTGTCCTTGCCTAAACTTGATCTGTTCCCAGTCGTCAAAGTCTGGTGTACCAGCTACTACTTTAAGCGCGGTTCCCAACAAATTTATACTACGTGCCTGTCTGTGATGAACTTTAAGTGTGTTTATTAATGTTTCTATATGTCCGAGGTCCGTGTTGAGTAAATTCCTCATATGGTCTTTAGTAAATAGGTCCAAGGTCTTTTTCGTTTCGTCAGCGTAAGTTTCGTATGACGTTATGTTCGTTGTATGTCCCAGGTACCCATACTCGTCCCAGATGGTCACGTCCCCGTCAGTTATAGGTATGTAGTCAGAGTGAGAGTAGTCGGTAAGTCTTGATGTCGCTGCTGTCAGATTGGTCAGTGTCAGAGTCAGTACGAGCGAGTGTCCCAAACTGCGGTCAAATCAATATGGAAGAAAAATGTTTCTGATATAGTAAAAATTCTGACTTAGTCTAAATAGAACAAAGAGTCTTAAAAATTTTATTGCTATTATTTAAGGCTGTCCTTATGGACCACCCTCCCTTTTATAAGAACCGTTGTGCCCAAATCTGCCTCTATTACTTCCTCCGAGCACAAGGGTGACAACTTATTTCCTAATCTTTTATTTGATTTCAACAATACCTTCTCCCCAACCCGATAAGTTTTATGAACTCTATTTTTGTTTGTTTGTTCAAGCTTTCTATCCTGTGCTGTTTTAATTCTGTTTTCAACTTGCGTTGCAAGTTCCACCGGAGTTGAATGAATAACCTCTATAGGCTTTCTGTCTGTCACTGAATGAATTGACCTATTGTATTGTACGGTTGCAAGGAGAATGATATCGACGGTATCTGTTAAGTTCTTGTCCAATTTCAAGCAACGACCTATTTCCCCAAGGGTACTATGGAAACGCTCTACCTGTCCATTAGAAGTGCTATGCAAAGGAGGTGCATTCGAAATTTGAATGTCAAAATTATTTGCCAGTAATGATCTTATGGTCTCAGAGTTAAGCGACTTCTCGTTATCGCAATAAATTGTTTTCGTTTTTGGAAACAGGTTTATAAGCTGTAAAATCGGAGCTTTTATGTCCACGATCGCACGTGAATGAATAGCCTGTACCACTGCGAACTTGGAGAATTTGTCCACGCAGGTCAGAAAAAATTTCTTGTCTGTGGAATACACATCAACATGCAAAATTTCTCCAGCATATGATGGTACTGGTGTTTTTCCTATTGCTTGTTTGGTTGGATGTCGACCATACTTTCCCATAGCACATATTCTGCAATTTGTGGCTATTTCTGTCGCTAATCGACTCATCTTGGGAAAAAAATAGTCCCGAAGTATTTGTTTAACATTTTCCTGGGCTGCACGGTGAGCACGATTATGCTCTATCGTGGCTATTTCCCTCTGCTCTGTGCCATTAGTTATGTCCGTTACAATATTCTTGGAATATCTAAATACGGTTGAGGGGAATGCTTCTACCAACTGATGTTGAATAAAGGCCAAAATAGGCAAATCGCAATGTATTGCGTTGACTACGTCCGCTCTTACCACGTCCTGCAAAGTTTGCAAGAGAGTGTTTCGGTCAGAGAACCGGACAATGTGCCTAACTTTTTCCTTAAAGAAGATGAAAGTTTTCACCGAAGGGGTGTTATTCTCCTCAATAACTATCTGATTCCGGTAACAGTTCACCGGTTTGTCTGTCGCCTCTATAGTGTAAGTGAGGGATTCCTCGCTATGCACTGTGGCAGCATCAGAATGCACAGAGTCTTCTAGGGCGTTAACGTTCTGACGAGACAAAGCGTCTGCCACGAAGTTTTCTTTGCCAGGTTTATAAATGATATTCGCATTATGTTCATCAATAAAAGCTTTCCAGCGTTTTATTTTTGCGTTCGGATTCTTGTCCGATACTGCAAATGTCAGAGGTTGGTGGTCAGTGAAAATGTTCAAGTTTCTGACTCCATATAAGTAGTTCCTAAGATTTTTCAAGGCCCACACAATGGCAAGAAGCTCTCTCTCATTGGTAGCAAAGTTCACTTCATTATCGCGTAAAGTTCGCGAAATCATAGTAATAGGGCGTCCGCCCTGAGACAATACTGCTCCGAGACCATGACCTGATGCGTCTGTTGTCAGGTCAAATGGCATTTTGAAATCGGGATACGTTAGTATCACGTCTTCGGAAGCTAGTATCTGTTTTAGCTTGTCAAAAGCTGTGAGTTGACTTTGGGTCAATTCAAGATTAACCTTTCTCGAATGATTAGCACTTATCTTGCCGTTCTCGCGCTTTAAGACGTCCGTTAGGGGTCTCGCGATAGCGGCAAATCCCTCTATAAAACACCTATAGTAGCTTGCTAGCCCTAAAAAAGATCTAAGACCAAACAAGGTTTTTGGAGGCTGGAAATCTTTAATAGCTTGCACCTTTGCAGGTGATGTTTGTATTCCACCCCTACTCACAGTGAATCCCAGATACTCTACGCTCTTTTTGAAGAACTTAGACTTTTCCTGGGAGACCCTCATGCCCGCATCCCGAAGGCTTTTTAAAACCCATTCAATATGCATCACATGATCTTCCTTGGTCTTGGAAAAAATTATCACGTCATCTACATACACGTAACAAGTCCTTCCTATTTGATCCCGGAGAACATCATCAATTGCCCTCTGGAATATACTTGGAGCATTTTTCAGCCCAAAGGGAAGTCTGCAAAATTCATACTTCCCGTTATTTACAGAAAAAGCTGTTTTTTCTCTGTCCTTTTCCGCCAATTCTATTTGGTGGAAGCCCGATTTGAGGTCCAATGTTGTAAAATATTGTGCCTCTCCCATATTTGCTAATATTGCAGAAATAGTAGGGATCGGGTACTTATCATCAATCGTTTTCTGGTTTAGTTTTCGAAAGTCGATAACCAACCGCTTTAATTTGTGCCCTGATTTGTCGACACCTTTTTTGTCAACGACCCATATAGGGTTATTATAGGGCGATTTTGA